GGGGGGGGGGGGGACGGGGGACGGGACTAAGGACACAATAGGTGACAGTTCTGTCAAAGGGGAAGTTGAGCTATTTCAGGTCCTGCCTTTTAAAATAGCTTAATGAGACAAATGGGATTTCATTGCAGTGATGATTTCTGAAGTCTTAATTCATAAAATGTTTAAGTAGCTACTGCTGCATCTGGCATAGCCGATTAAATTGACTGGGTGAAGCTGTTAACCGCAGCTGTCTGCCCACTCCTGCAGGGCACTATTGCCCTGAAGGAAGGCTGCCTGAATCTCGAGAGCCTGCTTCACAACTATATTTTCTTCGCCCATATAGTTGGTTTAGTGCAAGGAACCGCTCAAAATGCTGTAGAAGCCCCACTGCCCACCAAAAATTAGAAGAAACTAAGAAATTAGCCATATAGGCTTACAAAGCATAATGGACATCTTCGGAACTGTAAGAAATGCCATACTGTGTTGGACATTGCCTGTCCAGCCCAGCAATTGCTCTCAGGCAATGGAAAGAAGAGACACAGTTTAGGGAAACTAACCTGGCCACTTGTTTCTCGTTGTATTCCCGGCCACAGCTCCTTCACTAGGGACACTACATGCATGTATCCTCCTAGTGTATTCTTTTGACATACAAAAACCAATTTTTTGTTGCTTTCATTGACAGCTCCCTAGGTCTAGTATCACAGAGAAAAGCTTTGCATTCACTTTATCTAATGCCTTCATCATTTTATAAAACTCAGCTGTAGCCTCCCCAAGCTCCTCCCCTCCAAACCAAACAGTCCCAGACACTTTTTTTTTTTCCTCTCTTGAGCAGTGGCAGCTCTGTTCACTTGACCATTTGAACTGCACTTTCTGAGCTGAGACGAGCACTGCTCACAGTAGTCAAAACAGGGGCCTATCCATGTTTTCTGTAGTGCTAAAAAGACACCTTGTGTGGTGGGCTCAGTACTTTTCCTCATGATGCCCAGCATTTTGTTGGCTTTTTGGCTGCCACCAAAAAGCAGAGGAGGTGCAGTCAAAGTTTCTGAAAATGGTATAACTGTATGGTTATTAATGTTTATTTCCATTATTATAAGAACTTAAAAACATTTAGGATGATAGTTGGAATGTGCTTGCAACTGTAATTAGGTACTAATTTCAGTGTAGTTGTTCCAGAATCTCACTTCTTTTTCCTTGGATAGATACAAATCCCTGTGCAGGTGAGATATTCTTAGAGCAAACAAAACATCTTGGACAATAGGCAGGGCACATGCATGTTTGTATCATTTCCTTGAATTGTTTGGTTGTACAAGATGAAGCAAGTAGAATTCTAAGTCATTTAATTAAAATATAAAGATAACAAGCAATGTGAACTCTTGAGCCTGGGAGCCATTTACTTAAACTACCTCATTGCTATGCAAAATCCTCAGTGTTAATAAGCAAATTCATATACTAGTATAAGAAATGCACAGAATGCTATTCATTTTGATGGCTAAAAAAATTAAATGCAAATAGCTTTCTCACTATCAAGTATACAACACTTAGGAACACCAAGATGCTACTGAATTGGTGCAGGAGGGCAGATGGTTTCAAACAGCAGCTTTATATATTCATTATTAACATCAGCTGTTGAGTTGGGTGTGTTGCTTCTGGCAGTAACTAATAGATGAAGTTTTAGAGGAAAATGAGAAGACCTATCATGCACTTAAACTGAGCATTTCTATATAGTGCAGAAGAATTCCTTCTTGCTTCCTGGAAGTGGTCAGGTAAAACTTCAAGCATAGAAACGTAGCCTTCTTAGTCAAGTTTTTCATTTTACCTTAATTCTTTTCTTTGATAGAAGACCTCTTACGTGTAACTGTAGAGGTAATGAGACGTTCTTTCCTAGGTACACAAACAGTGTCAGGAGTTAGTTGCTCCTAACATAGTAGATAGCAAATAGTTATCCCTCTTTTGAAACAGAAAAGTAAGCAGTGGGATTATGGATGTTGATGTTTTAACTTTGTTTTTTTAGAAATCCTGCATTACCCTGTGGTTGCTATATATGGTTATTTTGCATTTCAGTGTTGTTCTGTGTCCAGTAGTACTTTTAGGGGTTTCATTAGTTTGCTATCTTTTAAAACCAGCTGTATAAGAACAGATTTTAGTAACTGAAGATGCCTTCTTTACCACATCGATATCTACTGTATGTGTGCAAACTCTATTTCTGTTTCTAGATTTGCCTTAGGTTCTGCTAAATGTATTTTGCTAATTGTAAAAAAATTGCAGAAGATGTTGATGGGAAAATCACTCTAAATGGCTTCTCAAAAGGAACTCTTGAAGTCTTAGTAAGAGTTTGTTTTGACAGACAAGTTGGTGATTTCACTAATCAGCAGTTTGCTTAAAAATAACCCCCCTAGATTTCAGTTCTGCATGTATTCTCTTTTTCTGGAAATCCTTGTGGATAACTGACTCATAAATGCAAATAGAAGGATGACTATTGGTTACTCAGACAACTGTAGAAAACAAAAAAGCTTATTCATTAGTGTGATAAGGACACAAGGAGCAGGAAATGAGTTGACTGTTAGATGTTGAGAGATCACTAGGGATTATTGGATAAGTAATTATAAAGATCATACTGCACTGAATACAAGAAGATGGCAGGAGCTGGTTGTATTCTCTTGACCTTGTCGAAATGCTACAAAAAGGTGCAGGGACTGCTGTTGTGTAATGCATGCTGAGATCCTGCACTGCCAGCAAACGCTGAATGTATGTAGTTTGCCAAGCTGGTCTCTTTTTTTTACTTATATACTGCATAGTTCTGGGTTAGTATAGTATCATCGGCTTTGTAACCAGATGAAACTGCTACAGACCTATGTGTCTAAGCATTGCTGAATGTTTTAAAGGCAGTTAGCCTTTTTTACAAAATGATTTTCCCAGAAAATACAGAGAAGGAATGTAAGAGTGTTCTGTTTGTCATTATATTTTTACTGTTTAAAGACAACAGATAAATCTGACAATGTCAAAATGTTTAGTAAATGCACGTATATATGCATGTTAACAGGATGGGAGTTTACTGTTGATGTGCATTAATGGTGGTTTTTGAGTTTCATGTTGCTGAGTTGTTGATTGTTTTGTAGGATGAAGGTCCAGATTAAGACTATTAAGGAAAAGGTATTTTACAGAATATTATCATGGAAGCATCTCTGTCCCACTGTGCAATTCTAGTTATAAACCTGCAAAAACTCACAGGCTTAAAAAATTGTTGTCGTTGACTGAAATTCACTGATGCTGTGTTGTGTGTGATGAGAATTTTTTAAGGTTGTACTAAGGAATTACTCTGTTCACATTTTTTGCACTTGAAAATCATTTAAGGTGATACTATGTTCATTATTAACTGGAAATTAAATTTTAGCATGTATTTCAGACTGTGAGTCCTGTGGTCCTTTGATTATTTTTATTTTTCATGTTTTGTCCATGTACGCTTTGTATGGTGAATTTTTTTTGCCTTTTGACTGTGGCTTCTTTTTAGCAATGAAGCAGAAACAGTGGGGAATGGAAATTAAAGCCAGAGAACTAGTTTTTATTTAGAAGAAAAAAAAAACCCAAAACATTAAAAGGACAAAAGTGTAAATTATGTTTAAGCTGATTTCAGAGATGTAAATAATGAAGAGGTCTTGTTGGCTTTTCTGTGAACAGGGATTTCCCCACTGATATATCCTGAAATAAAGAAATTGCCAGAGTAAAGTATCATACTGTGTTTTGGAGGATTCTAATCTCAGGAGAGGAAGAGACAATTCTGCTGAGGCTGCCTTCTCTGTTAGCCACCAAGGCACTTGGAATTTGGGCCACAGCCATATTGCAGTTTTTTGTGAGATAACTTGTCCATGAGTAGCTTTGTGGTCACTACCATTAGCTGGGAAAATTGCTGCTAGGGCTGAAGAAAAAATGGCGAGTGCCCCAGAATTAAGCCAGTCTTCTGTTTTAAGCAAAAGAACCCTATGCATTACTAAAGACGGTATTTGTTGTGCTTTGGGCCATTTTCACAGATAAATGTACAAAAGCCCAGATGATTTTTATAAGGTTGTAGAAGCTGCTGCTGTAGTGAGGACTGCAATGAGCTTGGAGATTATTAGATTTGGGGGTGTCTCTGAAGCTGATTCAGAAACTGCTATGGAACTTGAATTTTCTGACTAGAAGTCTGGTGTGGGAATTGGAAGGGGCAACTTCATACTTTTGATATGCTGAATCTAATAGAAAATCATGTATCCTATCATACACTTTGTTAATGGCTTTCCAATGAAAGTCAAAGAAATGAAATGCATCTGAGTCACTGGAATTTAACAATAATATGATCCATCATGTGGCCCTGAAAAAGCTATTTTAGAGGATTAGAGTGTCATATTAGGCAATGTGTAATATTTATGTGCACCTTGTAAAATTCTTCTTGGCTGGGGTGAGTAACTTTTTGATAAGCGAACAAAATATCACCCTAGATTATACATTTTTCATTTTTTCTCTCACCCAGATACTTGTGTTCATTATTAAAGTGGAAGGTGGGGTTATACAGGTAAATATTTTTGTCACTATTGTGGAAGATTTTCAGTGATAGCACATGCTGGGAACTTACTGACTAGAGTAACTTTTATTATTGCAATGACTCTCATTAGTAACTGCATGAGAAAATCTGATATCTTGTCATATTTTTAAGGGATATTTGTATACTGTGGATTGCTATGATCTGGGTCAGCTACTAAAATGTACTTTTTATTTTCTGACTTTGAAAATGTGTCTTGCAACCATAACATCTTTAATGTCACCAGGTGTAACTCAGCTGGGCTCAGTGCAGCTACATGAATTTATATGAGGTAATGATGTGGCCCAGTAAAAGAATGGATGTGGGCAGCTTTGAACTTGTTCAAATCTAAATTTCATCTAAATTAGTCTAGATCCACCCTCGCAGGGGGAGATAACACTTTTATCCTGTGCTAGGATTGAGTTTATTTCTGCTCTTTGCAGAAATTTTACCTGGAGGGTGAGTCTGCCTCATAGCGTGCACGTATCACCGTCTTGTCCTCCAGTTTACTAATTTAACAGCTGATGAATCAGACTGCACAGCTCAGCACTCCATTGTGCTTCTGATAATTAATCAGATATGGCTGTAATTACTGACTTTCAGCAGAACTTAACTGTGGTCATCTGTAACGCCATCTATTATTGACATATTGCAGGAATGTAGGCAACAGAAAAAGAACTTGCAGGAGTTTTATAATGACTTTTCCATCATAAAATCTTTTATATAGCTTAAATGTGGCCTCCTCATTCAAAGGAACCTATCTGCCTTTTTATGTACCACATTTTATGTGGTGCATATGTGCCACATGATGTACCATACTGTTGCAAGCTTTCTAAACTGCAGATGCTCACGTGTAAGGTAAGGGGTGTTTATGAGAGACACCTGCTTGGCCGGGGCTGTTGGTACATGTGCCCAGGACAGAGCACACACACTCAGAAGCACTCACCAGAAGCCGTACACAGTTATTGCATGAAATGGGAGCATACTGCAACTTGTCTTTGAACCTTATTCTTATATAAAAGTGATCTCTTTCATCATTAAAAACAATACTTACAGTGTTCCAAAGCAGAAAAACTTCACAGTCTCTGGTCAGAGCTGTGATTTTTCTTGCTTTGATTATTTATGAATTTTGAAGACAGACAGAAAAGATGACAAAAGATGTGTTATCTTTTATGATTAGAAGTACAATAAAAGGCAGTACCTCTCATGTCAGGAGGAAAGCTGAACTAATAGAAGATGTAGCTTACTGACTGTGCAAAAATAAAATGCGGTTGTTTTCTTTTAAAACCAGAATTACATTAAAAAAAAAAAAAAGTCCATTGTTATACTCTTAAAATAAACATACAAACCTTGCTAATACTGCTCAATGATAGTGATGTTAACTGACTTATTCCCAAACTTTCTGTCAAATGCTTTTAAAATAGTTGAAAGTAGAAGGTTCAGTCTTGGTGTAGAAATATCATAGTCAATTATTAAAAATATTAATCATCTCAGTCAAAAAATGCTTTCATAGCTCAGTCTGGTATCTGTGTCTCTTGCTTTAAGAAACTTTTTACACTGAATGTATTTCAGAATTCTTAAGAAAATAGTTGTGTTTTTGTCTCCAGTGGGATTTCAGGTGCTTTGAATTGGATTTCATCCTTTGAGGTACACACATAGACATGGTACTGATGCAACTCTTGAATAGCAGAGCAAACTCTGCTAAAATCTTGCCATTTTTAAGCAAGGCAGCAGCAAATTACTTCAGTCATATGAAGACAGTTCAGAGGTACAGGAGTTACGGCAGGGTGGGAGAACCTCAGTACAAATGGAAATTTTCAATGATTTTCTGCCCCTTCTCTCAAGAAACTGAAGATTTGAAACTGTTTTCCCAGGTAGTGAATACCTGATCAATATGAAATATTACCATACAATTTACTACTACTGCTTCCTGAATAAGAATTCGGTAGTTGCAGTAAATGAAGAATTGTGAGGGGGGTTGCCTCTTTTAACACCAACATTTAAAAATTACTGATTAGTACAACAAGAGAGAGAGAGACTGTAAAAGAATAAAGTTGGGTTTTTTTCATATAACAAATTTGATTTGTTAACAATACCACTTTATAAACTCAATAAGAGAATGCTTAGAAAATGATATGAAGCAAAGTGCCTGTTCTTGGAAGTTTTGGTTGCATTCCTTTTCTGGAGCTTGTGCTTAATCAATGTCTAAATACACTGGGAAGGTACACAATGCTGTTGGGCAGGACAGAAGTCCTAAAATTCCACATGCAGAACAATGCATTGTTCTTTGCAATGCATATAGTACGTTTATTAAATTAGGGGTGATACCAGTATTGGAATTTCTTGAAAACAAATACTGACTGTTTATAACTTGATTTTTCTCTTCCTTTTGGTTCCTGGGTAGGTAGAGTATTTTGTCGTAAGAGTGATTGTAAGTACAAAACTGATTCCTTTATAGAATTAGTCACTCTCAGAGGCTCCTTGAGAGTATCATGTAATGATTATGGAGCACTTTCATGTATGTATTTTATACATAAAAGCAGTAGTTTGTCACAGATGTTACAGGGAGAATTAGGAAGAAGACATGAAGAAGGTGGTATCTACAGGTCTGGTCACTTCAGTTAAGGTATGTGTGAAGCCAGGTCCAGCCTCTGAAATAGTTGAACATTAGTTCTGATTTCACAGTTATGGAAGCAGAAGCACAGAGATAAGGACCTGAATTCTAGAAGTGCTGAATAATTGGCATTTCTGCTGATTGATAACATAATTACATTGCAGCACTCCTAAAAGTTGAGTGCCAAAGAAATCCCAGGAGAAAGTTTGCTTTATTTTTTGCAGCCCTCTTTTAGATGTGACAATCTGTACTTTCTTCCCGTCCCAAGCTATGTGCATTGTGCATTTTTAACTCTTCTTTCCTGTTAGAGATCAAGATACATGTTTGATTTAATTGGAATTTCTTTTTGCAGCCTTGCAGCAGGACTGGATTAACAGCTGAATTATCCATGCACAACTTCTTCCAAACTACATCATATTTTACCTAGACTTGGGAGCAGCAATAGGAGTAAACTTCTATGTTTTATGAGGTGCCAGTAATGGAATTGTAGGTACAATTGCTAGGGAACAAATTAATCACTGATTATTTATTTTTAAAAGTACATTACTGATGTTACACTTGGGTGACTTTTTTGCAAACATAGAGCAACTAATAGGAGCAAATTGGTATTATCATATTTAAATTGGTGCAGAAACTACAGCTTTCTTGGTCTGTAGGCCATCTGGCAAGAGAGCTTATTGAAGTATTCAGGACTGCCTTAATGCCTTATTTTTATGGAACATAGGAAATAGAAATTTATTCCCCTGGTGCAAGGTGCACACTCAGTAAATGCATGATAACAGCATGGTCACCTGCTTGTTTGTAGCTTGTATTCAGTTGGTGAAATTAGTTAAGGACCGTCTGCTTCATGCATGTAGGTAAAATGCATAAGACTTTGAAGTGAATATTTGAGCAGTCAGTCTGTAACTGTAGGAAGACTGGGATGCTGTAGCACTCGAAGTGTGACTGCCACTGAATCACGTAAGATGAACAAGTGAAGAGGCTTTCTGCTCTGCTTAAAGCTTTGTATTTAAACTTTTCTCCTCCGATTTCTCAAGAGAGCTTAGCTGAAAAATCAGCTATGTCCCTTTTTTTCCTGTTATTTTGGGGGGTGTTCTAGTGATTTTAAACCCTTACTTAATACCAGCCAAGATGGCAACTGGAGTTTTGTTTGAAATCTGAAAAGTTGCACTATAGCTCTGTTGAATAAGTTTAGGATACACTAAATAAAGGATAGTAGGAATAAAAACACTGCTGTTTTAATTTTTACTTACATGTATAGACATTTTATATATAGGGGGGTGTGTGGGGGTGTATCTATGAATAAAAACACCTTTTCAAACGCCTCTTTACTACATGTTTACTCTTAGTACATTCTTGATTTGAAATTTTTTTTTCTTTTTGTCTTTTTTGTTATTGGTTTGATTTGGTTTTTCAGTTTCCATGAGCAGTACTCTCTGGTTGTCATTAAGAATTACAGGTTGAAGTCTTTCACTAGTCTCAGAGGTATAAATGAGTAAGAGCTGCAATCAAACTATCCAACATATCTCTTTCAGGTGAGAAATAGAGAAGTCTATAGAATTAAATGCTTTTTTTAAAACAAACAAACAAAAAAAACAGTTTATAACTTTCAAGATGGCAAAGAAAAGAACAGTGAAATAAATGTAAACTACACATCGTCAGAACAGAAGAAAGTATATCAGAGCTAGAGCTGCTATTGCTATGTGTAATAGGGGAGAATGGGTCTGTGCTTTTCCCCCTGAACAAGTATTTGTTTACGTGAGGTGCTTACTGATACTGTTGTTAATTGGGTAAAGTTATATGACTCTGTCATTTAGTTTAGGCTGTTGTATAAGATTTCATAAGCCTGTTTGCAGGGCTGGATGCTGAGCAGCATCATTGTAGTTATGACTGCAAAAAGTTTCTACTTCTAGAAAATTCTTAGTCTGGAATTAATTGATTTATCATTTAGAGTTCAGCATTGACTAATCTGTAGCAACAGAATTTATCTAGCAAAAGTTGGGACTACAGGAGAACACGTCGATGTTCTAGTAATAATTTATTTTGCAGCTAATCACAGCTACTAATGTTTTGCTACCTGTTTCAAGGCAAAAAGACCTTTCCTTACACAGTGAAGATACATTTACAGAACTGCTGATATTGAACAAAAGGGCACTTTGAGTTAGATTTTTCTGAATAAAGAATCTGTAAAGTTTGCATAGTTTTCACATGTGAGTTTGTTGGTGTCTACACAGGCATAGTAAATCAGAGGAGAGAGTGCTGTGATATGTGCTTCCTACCGCTGCTCCAACTGTAGATCATAAAATCGTTGCTAATTTTCAATGGCTCTACAACCAGTGGGTCTTTTCTCCCCCAGTATATCTCCCTTAGTATGATGGGAAATCCGAGAAATGAGTAAAGTAAAATGAAAATATTATAAAAGTATCTTTATATGTATATTCAGTACTAGATGCTCAAGGTACAGATAGCACGTATGCTTCAAAGAATTTTCTCTGTAAAAAGTTTGCAAACTACCAACATGTCACAAGTGAAAATATTAAAACTTGTTGCCAGGTGCACTGAATGCTGTTAAATGGTACAGTCTTCAAAGTTATAAATCCTCTGTAAGGAACTGATAGAGTTGGCAGCTATAAAACATCAACTTGACATTGCTTCAACCATTATTGTTATATTTCTCTAAGTTAGAAAAGGGAAAAAAAATAAGGGGATATAAGGACTGGGAACAGTGAGAGGTAGGCTCTTGAGCTACAGTGCTTTGGTACAGTGCAGATGGAGGACAGGATTTGACTAAACAGAACACAGAATCCATACCAGATTTCAGTCTGTTAACCCAAGACTGACTTCTGAAATTTGGGATGCAAGTGTCTTCTGCAGGAAGACTGTTACACTTGATGGAGAGAGCTGGAGGCCAGGTCACAATATGAATTTCTAGAAATACTTTCTAGCCATCTCTATGTGAAGAAACAATTTGTTGATGGTCTCCGAATTAATAGCAAGAACATGTGTTTGTGAGCTAGTACTTCCAGTGTGCTGTGATGATACAGAGGACTGATCTTCTGATACTTTATTAGCATTCCAGGAATACAAGGGTCTGAAAACAGTGCTCCTTTTAGATTGAGGAACAGTGGGCAGACTGCTCTTTGCCAAGTTTGTCTTTTATTTTAATTTTTTTTTTATTTTATTTTTTAGGGTGGAGTTTTAATGTTCTGGTGTCAGAATGAAGAGCAGGATACCTCTCATTCTTCTAGCCTGTGGCTCCTTTAACCCCATCACAAACATGCATATGCGTTTATTTGAGGTGGCTAGAGATCACCTGCATCAAACAGGTCAGTAAGGTGTGTTAGGACCATGAACATACATGTTTTACTGTGAAAAGGAGGAAAGATTTTTAACACACACTATAGATAAGCTGTCACTTTACAGCTGGCTTAATTTTAGTATAGTTTATTGATCATTCAGTATGAAGCTTTCATGACATATTCAGTATAGGAAGTCTAGCATTACCTTTTCCTTTGACTTGGTACATAAACAAGTATCATAATGAGCATTCATGCAAATAAACTGAAAGTTTTATCAACGGTTCTAAGATCATATTCATGGAACAGACTGAGCCTTATGAAAGAGTATGCTTAACAATTTTGAAACTGAGAAGAAACATTTATGTTCAGATTTCATGCTTTTATGATACATTGTGTTTTAATATGAAGAAGTGTTACAGTTAGCAGTTTTGACAGCCAGCTGAACCTGGAGAAAAGATGAAACGTTAATTATTCATTATCCATCTTCACTAAGAGGTACAAGTTATCTCCCCTAGCAGAATAATTTCCTCATAAAGGCGATCAGAAAAGCAAGATGTCAGCAGGTTAGAAGGTTTCGGCAACAAAGGAGGAAGGTGGGTAACATCAGGAACTTAAAGAAGGATCAGAAAAGCTACTGGGAAGCATTGAACTCTAAGCTTGATCAGCTACTTAATTGCTGAGACTTTTACTTTTTTTCCATCTGGCAGCTAAAACATACACATATGTTTCTGGAAGAGATTGGAAGGAAATGACAATTTACTGGAACCTTAGCAAAGAAGTTGTGAGGGAGGGAGGGAGGAACCTGAGCAGAAAATAATAGTAAAAGGAATTTGGCTGTCAGATTGTGGGGAGGAGAGAGAAACTAGTGACCCACTGATACCATTGTGCAGTAAACACAGCAACTACATGCTTGCCATATACTGTGAGAATACTTTGACTTTAATGAGGAAGAATTACACAACTGTCTCTGAGGGCTGCCTCTATGAATCTGTTGTAACTGTAAAATGATTTTATTGTTCCTGTAGAATGAGAAAGGGTTAAAAAAGGATTTGAATTGGCTTTTCTTACTGTAATTTTATAACTTTTTACTGTGTGGGTGTGCATGGAGTAAAAAAAAGCAATGTGAGACCAATTGGTACTTCTATTTAAGTCATGTGTTATTGTCCAGTAACTTAATTCTCTACCTTGAAAGAAGGCTTGAACTGGGAAATGAATTATGCTTCTGTCTGAATCAAAATTCATTGTCTAGTCTGCTCTAGGGTCTGTGAGATGACTCCAACCCTTACTCAGAGCAATTTACCTAAACAAGTCTAGTGAAAATCATATTAAAAATGACATTTTGAAAGGTTGAAATGAAAGTTGTGCATTACATTGCACCACTAACATTAGTGTTTAGTTCTGGATAGGATGTGACTTGTGTTTTGAATTCTTGGTTTAATGTGTGGAATCTTTCTGGTCAAAGTACTTCATGCATTAAAGAAGAGGACTTTATTTCTGTCTGGGTTGCCTACGCTGTCATCATTGTGCTTTCTGAATGCTTAACCCAGGATATCTGCAAACCAGGAATCCTCAGTGAGCCTGTGGAAACTTTACCAATCCCAAGTAGAGGTAGCTTTATTTGAAGTAACTATAAATGTAAATATACGTGTTTTATATGTATGGCTACATATAAATCTGGTATATGGTCTGTCTTGCTATGGTTCAGACAGAAGGGGTTGGCAACATGCTATAAAAATGATCGATTTTGGATGACTGTTTTATGGCAGAACCATTCCCACCCAGATCCTGTTTCTGCTGCTGTGGTTACCCAGAGAAGGAGAGGGAAAATGAGAGCTTATTTGCTAAGAAGAAGCACTAGTTGCAGACTGGGAGCTGATGATGGGGCTGGAGGACAATGGTTACACATGACTAAACCTTGTTTGAAGTGAGGTGGTGGTCTGCCATATTCAAACTGATTCCTTTCTCAGTGAGAACAGTGCACTTCTGAGCTAACGTACACACTGACTGTCTGAAAACGTTAACTAGCATGAGTGAAAAAATAACTAGCATGAGGGGCAATGTTTCCTACCTGTGAGAATGAATGACTTTTCGTGCTACTTCAGTATTTCTGCTCAATCAGAAATCGGGCAGAAATGAGGAGTTGTGCAATAGGTTGGCTGGAGTTGACTTCACAGTCAGGTTTTACTGCTCTGAATGACATGACTATCCCTGATGTGCATCCTGGCTGACATCTCCAGTAATTTTGTCTGCCAGCTTTTTGCACATCACTTCAGTTTCAGATGCTGTCTAATCTTATTTTTCATGCGTCCCTATTTTAAGTAGGGAATTTTATTGAGTTTCTGATACTTCAAGCTGTATCAGCAGTTTCATTGCCACATGTCAGCTCATCCTTTTTCTGTTAATATCAGTTGACACATCTTGTTGTGCCGCTTTTTAAATATAACAGACTTAGCTACATGTGACTGAATAACTCTAATGATTTTGACTGTTTACGGGTCTTCACACGTAGCTAGAATCTTGTTTAAAAATGTTTCTTGAAACTGGCACTGACTGTGGTAAATGCCTTTCCACTCTGTTGATACCTGCTGCCAGATGCTTTTATTTCTCTTTGACTGCATTTCTTATTTGACTGTAAGATCCAAAGAAATAGTACTAGAGTCAACCTATGTAAGATGTTTAAAACCTTGTTTCCCAGGTATTGCCAGTGGAGGATGCTTACATCACCAACTCTCTGCATAAGACCAACAGGGATAGAGGGCAAAGGAGAGAGATATGAAATGCAAGTTGTTTCTATCTGTGACAAGACATGTGCAAGGGGGAGGTGAAGGAGAATGAGTTACTATCTTATGAAAACTTGGGAAAAATGTGACACAATCAATGCGTTGTGTCAGATGCAGCACTGGGCAACAGACCTAAGAAGTTCAAGGAGTGCTTAGCCACTAACCAGCCTTGTGAATTTAGAAGTTTATGTTGTTCAAGGGCTGCATCTGATTAAAATGGACTGGTATTTTCAGAAAAGAGATAGGAACAGAATGTAACAGCAGCAAGTCATCATAAATGCACGGACTGAGTTGTTTTCCTCCAACAGTTCTGATAAGCAGAATTTGAAACCAACACAAAATAACCCTGGTTTGATCCTACTGTTTTGGTAGTGTGTCTAGCAATACAGATGCATGATTGGAATAGGATCAGATCATCAGTAGTTACTCACTAGCTATACAATATACAATAAATATACATATACAATAAATATTGAGAGACGTTAAAATTAATTGAATTTTAAAAATTAAAATGAAACTTATTTTCTTACAAGGTTTGCAGCAGTGCTTGCTGGAATAGAGCAGTACTTGGTTCTTGCTATTAGGCTCTACCCTTGAAAGACACATGAAGAGGAGAGGGATGCATATGTGGCTTATCATTCAGAAAGAATTAAAGCTATAGGGTGCATTTTGCAGAGGTGCAAATTTAAGCAGCAAAAGCATAAGTCTTAGGATATCTCAAGATATGCCACATCCCTAAAGAAAACGCTTTTGTTACATAAAATTCAGTTTTCTGAATACTGTTAGCAGTGCATACAGTTCAAGTCCTAGCCCTTTTCTGAATATAAGGAATGCTTTTCAAAATGGAAGAAGCATAGGCATCTTTGTTGCACAAGTTTTGTTGTCTTACTCTGAAACCCAGCGGAATAAGGGGTGGGTGTCCCCTACTTGCAGTGGTATTTGGGTTATGCCCATATATTTGACTTTGGATTCCTAGCCATCTGGTTTGTAGCATCTCTGAAGAGAATCATTACTTTGCAGTCACGTTACATGGCAAAAGTCAGCTTGGATGAGAGCATTTCAGAATCAGGTGTCCTGTGAGTAGAGCTACAGTCCCTCATTCTTCACATTTTTGCTCTTGAGATAGTGGTTTTTAGCCTTCCTTTCTGGAGGAAATACTCATTTTCATAGCTGTCAAGAAACTGCCTTTCCTTCTTTTTGTCCAAATCAAGTGAACGCTATAAAAGTGAATAGTGAAGTGTATTTGGAAGCTTTGATACAAAATGTTTATTATAGATGTGATGTGTGGAGATCATTCAGCATTTATTTGAGGACTGATCATTGTGCCCGCTCAGTTACTCAGCTGTTGGAGTAGCGTTCCTGAAGTTGCAGTGTATTTGTGTGGCTGTCTGACTAGAGAGGTAAATCTGCACCTTCAGGCCCTGTAGTTCACTCAACCAGGTGGATATGATTTATGTTTGTCTAGGTACTCATATGACATCTGTCACTACAATTTTTGCACACCTCATCTAATTTAGTGAATACATCTTTCAAGCACTCTGAAGCGGTGAAGGTAAAGTCATCCATCCTATGGGAGCTATCCTAAAAGATTGTCCCTTACTGCTCTGATGTATTTGTTGTTTATGTTGACTTTCAGTGCAAGGATTGCTGAATTGTTTACCCCTTTGATTTTCCTTCTGTTGAAATCCCCTCAGAGAAGGTGACTGAACATGAAGTTAAAAAAGTCTTGCCTATTTTCTTTTCCTTTTTCGTGCTTAGGATTCTTTACATACATGTCATGGTAATGTAAGCATAGGATCTTTTTGATATTTAGTGTGTAAATTGTTTTGAACAACTCAAATTTGGGGATTACTTGTATCTAGTCATTACTTGGTGGTTTTGTTTTTATTTCCTCCCCTACATGTCATCTGAACAAAGAGGTTAGATATCCCTCATTCCACCTCCAGTTAATTGTAACCTATATATAAAAATAACATTTTTGTTTAAATGAAAAAATGAAAAATTCTTGTATTTGTTTTCCTAGCATCAGTAAGCTGAGAGTTCTGAGAGGATAACTGCTGATTTCTTGTGAGTTCAAGGGAAACTATTACTGTTACTTCAATACAGAATTTTATCATGTGATTTTAATGTATGTGTAGTCACACACAGAAGGCTAATAAAAGAAATTAAATAATCCAGTTAACTAACCATATTCATAAAAGCAAGTGTATCAGTGGTTATTTCAGTGAAGAAATGAAAACTTAAGTTAATACAAGGTCTTGGTGCATCTTAGATTGTTAGAACATGAGCTTGTATTGTAACTATTTTCCAACATCGTTCACTTCTGATGGGAAGTTTTATATCATTTTACATTTTGAAATAGCTGCCACTTTCCTCATGAAGGAGGACTGACTCCTCAGCAATCCGAGTGATTTTTGTTATTTATGTACTTGATGTTTCATACATACTATACAGTAAAATTTAAACTGTTCATCAGCCTGATTTTGTTAAATCTTAGATATGTGGGTAACTTTATGCCCTCACAACAGGCTTAATGAATAAACCAAAACTTTGTAATCCTGTGCTCTGCAGTTGTTCACATTAATGCACTAAAATACAGAAGTTAGTCCTTGTCCAGTGCTGAAAAGGAAACTGGAGCAGTATCCAGAAAAAAACATAAAGGCCAAGGAATTTTGTTGGCTCCTGTTTACAGCCTTTAGATTAGATAGGACAGAAACCTTAGGCAATGAGTTAACACTGTAATTTTTGTTAAGGTGTGTGCAGTTTGCGGGGAAGTTTTTTCTGGTGTTTGGTTTTCAGTGGTTGGGGGGGGTTTGTTTACATTGGTGGGTGTGATTTTGGGGGTTTGTAGGGGTTTTTTTGGTGTTTGGACTTTGGAGTAATTTTAGGGCTTTTTTCTGTTTGGGGTTTTTTGGTTTGGTGGTTTTGGGGTTATTTGAGTGTGTTTTTTGAGGGGTTTTGGTGGGGTTTTTTTCCCCTGTTAGTGACAGCTATATGGTCTTTAAACACGTTCATATCCTCAGGAAGGGAAAATTTGCATGTTTGAGTTGGTGTCATATTCAATTGATGTCACCAGTGAGTATAACTCTAGTTTTTTCTATTATAAAGTATAAGTTGAGAGCTGAATACTGAACAATAAGGAGTTTCATTGTAACCTAGAGATGAGACTGGCATTCATCCATAATATTTTTATGTAAGCCTACAGCAGTGAAACCTTTAAAGCTTTAGAGTTTCAACAGAAAGGTACCAAACTGCATGAAAGTGTGTGTGTTGGCTCATCTGCTGGTTTCAGTTGTATGAAACCATAAAAATCTTCCACATAGCAAACTTAACATGAAACATGCATCTTTTGATACTGTCATTGCTTATGAATGATGTACATTGGTACTGCCTGTTTGTAGTGACGTGCCATAAATCTAAACTTTTATCTCAAAGATACTACTTGGGGTAGTTACTTTGGTATAAGTAATCAGACTGGATAAACGGATGTGCCTAATTCTCAATTGTCACAGAAGTGCAGAAGAGGCTTTTGTTTTGTCAGCCCTGTTCAACAGGGAGTAAAGTTTCTAGAAACTGTTTATCCTGAAACACTACTGTTCCATAATACCTATTTAATAGCATCTTGGAAAACCAGTGAAGTAGCAGCACTTGGGCTCAAAGTCCTTCTGCAACCTGCTCTGGAGATGACCCAAGGAAGAACAGCGATGTGGTCATTCCTGCTCGCTGGGTAGGATAACACCATAAAGCTGCAGAGCTTCCCAATCTGTTGTGGATTTTCCTATGACATGAGAGGAAGACAGAGTTAAATGTATAGAAGTATTTCTTTTATTTGGTTTTCTATAGTGGTTTTCCTTACTTTTTGTATAGTTTCTAATAGTAAATCAAACTTAATACTAGACTAAACTATATCTTTAAAAGCCCTGCCAAAGCACACATATAATTTTTTATTAAATTGGCATTTAATAAATTTGATTTGATATTAATAAACTAATTCAGCATTACAATTTGTGTTTGTGACAATTTACAGTGCCCTTTATAACCGAACACTAAATACATGTTTGCATTAATAATACTACTTTAACATGTTTGACGGACATTTTTTTGTTTCATCACTTTTGTTATATTTAGTTTTTTAACCAGTTATATTCTCTAAGAACTGCTTAGGATAAGTTCATAGCAAGAGGAAATTTTCTGCTGCTTTTGATAGGTATGTTTTGAAAAACAAAGCCATGTAAGGGCCTGGAGAATTTTTACACATACTTAGGACAAGCAACAATAACATACTGTGTGATGAAAACAAATAACATTCCAAAGAAATATAATTTGAAGATCATTCTGGACCAAGGAAGGCTTGAAACTACCTGTAATAATTTATGGGACAGAGAAGACAATTGTAGTGGAAATTAAAAACAAAAAAAAAAGATGTCAGAATTTAATTATTTCCTCTTTGAATGCCTGACAAAATTGAGGGACATATTTGAATAGGTGAAATTAATGAATTGAATTTGAATGGGTGAAATTACTGAAGAAGACACAAGTTAGACCCAGTAATAAAATATTCCTCTATATTTTGAGTGGTAAAGCTTGTATTTTTACGTGAAAGGTTCTCATGTGCATAGTTCTGGGCTACTCAGTTGTTGTGAATCATCTCAAACAGATATTGTATTTGACTTTTGGTACCTCAAGTATTAGCAACCTTGATTTTTCTCTTCCATTTGGCTTCATTTATGCTTTGGAACAAGTTGATGTGGCATCAGAAATTCTTATCTCATCCAATTTGTGCAGTTCTAGGCCAGACTAGAGACTGCAATCTTTATAGCTCACAAGGATGTGGCAGAGTTGCAGTCATTCTTGGCTAGCATGTTCTCACACAGTTTTAAGTTTTATATTTAATGTATTCATTTATAATATAAGGGAATAATTTGTATCTGTAGAAACTGAAAGGAACTGAAATGTTGAAAATTACTGTGTAAGAAAAACCTTTTAATAAGGGCAACATATTAATGAATTCAAACTGTAATTTCCCTTTAAATGAGAATTTGTTATAGCAGTGTATATAATCAAAGTATCAGAGACTAATTGTTGTTTGTAAGTCAAGTGAAAATTTTTCCAGATTCAGGTCAAGAGATAGACTTAATTTTATACATATCTTTGCATGTTTCTGCAAAATTTTATCTTGCTCTGTTGACCATTTTGCTTATAATGAGAATTTTTTATAAACAGAGGATAGTTTGGACTGACATTTTAATAGGAGACAGGCCTGGAAAACTCACTGAGTTCTGATGCTGGTTTTCTTAAGTCCAACTTGCTTAAGTTCTTTTGAAACTTTTACCTTGTTACGTCAAAATAAATGTGAAGTTAGTAAATGGTCATTTTACAATATTAAATTGTCATGTGCCAGTATCAGAAATTATGAGTCCAGGGTATCATTTTGGTTACAAAGCAGCAGAGGGAACTTGCTACCTTCTTTAAGTTTCTTTGTTGACATAATGGAATTAGGAAAAAGGAAGTTGTTTGGGGTTTTTTTTCCTCCTTTAGGATCATATTTATCGTAGTTATTTAAAATGCATGTGTTATATTACAAATAATTTTGTTTCATTTCTGTTTATTTGAAATACCCTTTCTCTCCTCTCTGTTTCATGAGGGATGCAGCTCATATCAGTGCTTTATTTCCCTGCCGATTCATTAAAATGAGAGCTACATTTTTGCTTCCTGATTTTAAGGCCAGAACTGCAAAGTCTAACAAAAAGGGCTTGTTGTTTTAATGATTACATTATGTTACAGGAGTAGAAAAATATGGGCATATTTTCAAATTTAATTAACATGATCAGTCAGATAGAAACGGTCTTTAATGGCTGCTAAGCTGATGTTTAGAGCATAGTGCTGTAAGTCTCATTTTAGACTCCATTAGCCCCATCTTTCTTCTTGAATCTTCTGATTTGTCTGAATTGCATTAATCACAGCTGCAGTAATATGCTGTAATTCTTGCTTTAACACAATGAAAAGACACGATGATTTTGATAAATAACAAGCATCAGATGATTAAGAGCAAAGCAGTGGTCAGTTAAGTCATCCGTTGCTCTGGCTATATAAAAGCTGTACTTATTGGAATATAAAACTTTAATTATATCTAGCATTTTTGATAGTTTGCATCATAAATCATAAACATTTCTACTTGCTTAAAAATTGTTTGTTCATCCAGCTTTCCTTTTGGAAACATCTAATAGGATAAACATATTGATAGTAATTCTGAGCAGTTCACAGGAACAAGAAGGCTGCTTTTTAACATTTTTAATTGCTGTTTCTATATTAAATAATACCTAGATCAGGTTGTTCATAGCTGCTTATAACTTTTAAGTTAACCACGCTTTGAAGAGGTTGAACCAGATTAAATCCCAAGGTTCTGTCTAAAATTTTCAAGATTCTATGAAGATTACTTGTTTTTCTTTTCTTCTTTTCTTTTTTCAAAAGGAAGGTATCGGGTGATTGAAGGCATAATGTCTCCTGTTAATGATGACTATGGAAAGAAAGGCTTGGTTTCAGCAAGGCACCGGATAGCAATGGCTAAGCTAGCACTGCAGACATCTGACTGGATTCGAGCTGATCCATGGGAGAGTGAGCAGGAGACATGGACAGAGACAGTAAAAGTATTAAGGTAATCACTTTTCCCATTTCTTTATGAAGTTACTGATTGCCAAAAATCTCTCAGGCTACCAGATCAATGCACAGAACTCACTCGTTTTAAAACACCCAAGCAAAGCAGGACATGTTTGTTTATAGCATCATCTGCTATGAGATGAAGTATTAGATCTGTGAGCAATGAAAATTCACATCACTTTCCTTCAGAAAAGCTGCTTAGTCAGTGTGGTACTCCCCCTCTGAAGTCTTTCCTTTCCTAGTACAAAGCAGGTAGGCTTTCCCCACACTTATGCAGTACACCACAGTGTTGCACTTGAGCCATTTAAGTAGTTAGATGCATGTGGAAAGCCTCTGCCAAGAAAGAGTCTTGCAAACTTAATAGTCACTGAAAAGTTCCACAGCAAAGTTCTTAGCTCATGTTATTTCTCTTGTTTTTAAGTCTCTAAGCAGGTAATATAGAGATCTTAATCAGAAATTAAGAGTTCATAAACAAACCTATTCTTCAGGAGCACCCCTATTCCAGATTAGCTATCTTGGCATTATTATGCCTGCAGGTTTATCTGTTCATGCATCCTTGAAAAGTTTTCTTATTAACTCTAATAGCAAGTTAAACCCAAACCCATAACTGCTGATGTTTTCTTCAAAATCACTGACTTTACTGTGGTTTTGTGCTGGAAAGAAAACCAAAACAATTTGTCCAAAACCTGTTAACTTGATGTAAGGATCATGAAACATGTCTCTTCCCCATATGGTTGGTCTTGGTAATAAATGCATTATGGGGCAAGGTATGAAAACACAAACCATGTGCTAACCACTTTTTGGCAACATAGAGGCTACAGAAGTCAACAGATACTGTTAAAGTGAAAAACTTCATTAATGTCTTTCAAGAAAGCAAGTGTGCTGTAAGAACTATCAATGATTCTTCATTTCTATTTCTATCCATATTTTTCTAGGTTACATGGGAACAGTTGTGTGTATAGCTTAAGGCTCTAAAATGTGCCTTCTAACAACTGCCCAGAAAGCTCTTATGGCTCTGTTTGAATGCAGTTAAAAAACAGACCTGTTACTTCACAAAAACATACATAAGAATACCCTATGTACTTAAAAAAAAAAAAAAAAAAACCCAAAAAAAAAAAACCAACTAGTAGGGCCTTTTAGTTCTGCTTTATTTGCTTTGCTGACTGAACATAGACATCCAGTTGCTTCTTTTGCCCCTTCTCTCCAGCCACCATAATAGGATCAGAGTGGTAGGAAGACTATGCAACACTACCCTGTCTTTGCAGAAAACATCTCTTTTCTCTAATCACACTTGTATAGTCCAGCGTGAGAAATCACAGAAAGGTCTGTCCTGCAGTATTGGTTGGGTATGGGATTTTTCACTTAAAGTTCAGTTTTTTAAAACTATTTTTCTCCAGAGAAGCAGCTACAAATCTTACAGATCAGGTGATCCTACTTAGAAAGGCTTTTATCTTGCACAGCTCCAGCTGAAGTGAGTACCACTTGCAAGACTGGGTTTGTAAATTGTAAATCCACTTCAGAGTCCTTTAGTATATGAGGTACAATAAATAAAACCTGTATATATAAATTTCTGCTCAGGGAAAGCAGTACCAGTCTGGTATGAACAGCCCAACTTCCTGCCACTCTAGAAAGCAAACCTCTAGTTTTATAAATAAATTTACAAAACATTAACATGGATGCCTGTTAAGGAGAGAAATGAGTTTAAAGCATTTTTTTCTCAAATGAGCTGAACCAGTGCCATAATCTAATGCTGAAACCTGTCCCCTGAATGGGGAAGCAGCATCCTCATGAAATAGCACGTGCAGGTACTTTGGCTTTATATTGTATTTTAATTGCCACACGTGAGTATTTAAAAAAAGAGGTGGCTAGATCCTTACCAAGTATAAATAGGCAATAGTTTTTTGTGAAGTTGTGTTTCTTCACAGGTGTTGAAGGTTAATCTGTAGATTCTTCCCTGGTCAGAGAACTAAGAACCAATTGCTGCCTTCACCATAAGCTCCTTCAGGTAGAAAACTTTAGTACCAATAGAAAGAGATTTTGCTATTGCAAGGCAAAGACAGAAGATATTATTGTACCTAAATGTCTCCTCTTATCAGTATTTTGAATTGTACACTTAACTGCAGGAGAACATTGTGTCCTGAGACACATGAATTGGCCTTTTCCTGCAGTACTTGTTTTACCTGAGTGCAGTGAAATTGTCATATTTCATCAAAATCTGTGGATTTTGCCAAGGCTTCCAAATACTTATGACATAAAAGAATTTTAAGCAGCAAAGCTCATATTCCACTTGTGGTGGAGCTATTAGTTGCCTGTTACATTGAGTATGGAAATTTTTGAGACTATCTCAAGGCTTTTTTTTAGAGAGAAGTAGAGAACATGATGGAGCTATTTCCCACTTAGCTTCGGTTCCTGAATATTCTTTCTAGACAAGAACACAATATTGTCAGTAACAAAAGAACTACACTCATTCCTCTGGTAATGTAGATCTGATTGTGGTGCAGAGATAATATGAATTAATGTAGAATTGGCAAAGATCTATCTTACCCAACTTTTATTGAATTGTGCTTGTTTTAATTAAATAGTTACTCAAAACTTCATACAGAGTTCAGAAAATGCTTGATAAGCTGACAGATTGGTTTGTCCCTTTTGGTGTATCTTTAAAATAACATAACCCTCCCTGCCCCAGCGCTTAAAACACCTGCTGAACAGACCTTTTGGTAGTTAAGATTTTGCAGTACTTGTAACATTAGTCCTACAGTGAGCTCTTTGCCAAGAGTTCTTATTTTTGAATCGTGGCCCAAGAATGTCAGTCCATGATACGAAGTTAGTGTACTTTACTATACATAGCGTCAGCCTGTTTACAACAAGGCAGGATTAAAAATAGCAGGCCAAGCTACTGCTACCTTCTCTCTACTACCATATGTGCCTCACCTCTTGTCTATGTAGTTTCTTTAGCCAATGGCTGAGCATCAAAAATTGCTGGAGATAGTTATGCAGCCTGTCTAGGTGTATGTTCTTGACACTTGTGCAAGTGGCTAAAAGTATCTGCATGATTTGAAGAGTGTACATTTAAATTGCTAAACTATGAATTCATTCCTTAAAGCAGACGTTCAAAGTGTTATTATCTATGACTTTGTGCACATACTGAATTTGGACTGTACCACTCATAATCTTTGCTTTGATACAGCTATATAAGGCCTGATGGTCACTTTGGCTATATATGTACTAGACAGAGATGAGACACTGGCCTGAGTCTGTCTACCTGTCCTGTTTAACCATGAGCTTGTGTCCTGAAACAATAGATGATCTTCAAGGTTCTTTCCAACCTAGTTGATTCTGTGAATTATGGCTCATGCCCAGATGAGCAATGCTTAAGCATGGCTCAGGATGGAGCAAGTCAAGGACTATTTTAAACAGGCAAGGCCATGCTGATTTGGAAGGAAAGTTTCAGTGTTTGGATCTGAGATTGGCACTTGCCCCCTTGATTAAAGAAGGGGCCACTACCATAAGGTAATAATAACACTATTGCAGTGGGGGAGCATTGATCAGGAGCAGCAAAAGAATAAAGTAATAAAAACCTGGAAAAAACAACAAAAGGGTCTGAGCTCAGTAAAATTAGAAGCATAGCAGATGTCAAAAATCTTATGACAATTGTATATTTTGAGTTTCTCAGGATTGTGGTTCTTTTAATTAAAATGAAAGGGAAAAGTGCAAGGTAAAAACTCAGGGAACATGTCTTTGTGGAGAAGAGGATGTGAGAGAACAAAAATGTCTCCTCCTGAAAACTTCTGAGCACACGTTATAGAAACATCATCATGAGGGGTTGTATTTAATCAAGAAATTAAATCTACTGATTGAAGTGTGACTTAATCCTTTTTCAAGCAAAAACTTCCACAATGTTTCAGATGTAATGTTGCTATCAAAATTGCTGTAGTGGTAGAATTTTAAAAAGGAATTGAAAACCAGAATGCCATTACATAGGTTTCTTATGAATTCTGCAAAATGTTAACTACATTGATACTGATCTCATGGTAGAATGCATATGCTAAATTCTTAACAAATTATGTTTAAATCCAAAGTGCATAAAAGCAGACTGTGTTCTTGAATCTGAAAGTGCCAGGTAATCGCTTTGTGCATCTCTGAGAGGATTACCTCACACAGAAGCCTTTATTTTAAATGCAGGCACCATTACAATGAATCACTCAGATTGCTCCAGTTCAAGAAGGAATTCATGAAAAACAAACGGCCCATAGAAAGATCTACAGAGAATTCGCTTTCTTACCAGCACTCAGGTTGGTTCATAAATATAAACACAACTCTTTCTTTAGCATTAAAGATAATGCAGCTTTACCAGACTGGACTAATTGATGAACAAGTCGAACATAGTAACTGGTAAGTTTTGAGGGTTGGAGCTGCCTGCTAAAAACAAGCCATGCCAAATGCCAGCATGACCGCTGGTCCAGTTATTTTGTAGTAACTCCCACATAGACAAGAGACTTACTTTGGAGTTGTATTAATTCTTGGTTTTATAAGCATCTCTTTAGCTGTGTCAGAGATGGATGTTTTGGCCCTGCTGGTTTTGCAAAGTATAGAATATATAAATAAAAAATATCAAAAAGTACAGGGTTTACTTAGAAATGTAATTCTAGTGTTAGACAATGGACTAAGTGTATGGATACCACACCAGCGATGCTGATGCATTGGTGTTTACTGCATTTCTGGACAGAAAAGTTTCTATTGACATTAGAAGTACAGGGAAGTACACAGAAGTTCTGGAAACACTGTCAGTTTTGGGTTTCCGATTTTATATTCCCTAGCCCTGTGACTTGCTAGGATACTGCTAGACTTTTAATACATTACATTTTTCATGTAGTATTGCAGCGCTTCTTGGACATGAATAATACATTTAAGTTGTTTGTGGTTATACAAAAGCATGCAAAAGATGAGTTCTCAGATCTTTATAGATAGTAGAAGAAAATAAGTCTCAAGTCACTTGGACTGTAGTGGAATCTTGTGTCTGATGGATTTAATGGTTGTTGGCAAGTGATAAATCAGATTACTCCACATTGCTACACTGAAGAAAATTAGTGTAAAAGTAGTAAAGATTATTTTAATTTTCCATTACAAAAAATTATTTTACTATTATTCTCTATAGTTATTTCAAGCTTTATAGCATTTTGTGTAAAAATTATCAAGAAAACAAATGTTTAATCTAGACTGTCTTTCCCAATAAAGTCTAGAATTAATCAGCTATCACAGGTTTCCTCTAAAAACAGAAGGCATAGCAAAATCTACGTGAGAAGGACAGCAAGAAACAGGTTTCTCTGTCTAGCACATAGTGGCTGGATTTTTTTTTTTTTTTTTTTAAACACAAAGATGAGTCAGTTTATTTGGAGAGAGAAAGGCTAGTATCCTCTTGTTACTTACTTTTTCTGCCTTCAGTGCTTTGACTGACTGGGCAGTGATACGGATTTGGCCATATTAAACATGTCGCTCACCAAGAAGGAGTGGAGTGGTTTGTCCCCACTGCCTTTGGTCACTAACAGAATGGTGTGGGGAGTGATCAAGAGCTACAGAGACCTCCAGAGCAGAATACATCCAAACTTTCTAATGGCAGGCAACTGTTACCCAACCAACCCTGAAAAAAAACCCAAAAAACCCCACCAATCCAACCCTTCTAACAATGAAATCTGTTAAATCGGGGTCTTCTGTGAAGTTTATAGAAAGGCTCAGTCACCTAATGGAATTTTCACAAAGATCAGCTTGATGGCTCAATTTAGTAGTGGCAAAATTCCATAATATACTATTTTTCTACTGAATGTATACCCACCAAGGCTTCTTTGCATGCTGCTGAACCTCATGATTTTGTTCCATATGTTTTATTCCATAATCAGGTCACTTTAATATATATATATATATATATATATATATATTGCAAATAAAAAGGTTCAGTGAGGACAGCTATAGACAAATGATTGCAGTTTTAATAAACTTAGAATAGCTTATTGGTGCTAGTCATTCAGGATGAAGATGAAAAGAACAAGATTAGAGTCCTTTTTCTCTGTTTTTCAGTGTCCAGGGATTTGCTGTCCCTCTTTGATTCACCCAGTATAGCTTCACGTGCAATATTTCTTTTCCTGCTTACAAGAGATAGTTAATTGTCTTCATTTCGTTTTTAATTGAATTCCCTTCACTTCAAGTCTCTCAGTTGCCTTACATGAACAACTTTGTTGTCACTTCTTGAATGCTTTTCCCTGGCATAATCCAACAGCAGTCTCCCTTAATTAGACCTTAAATCCAGCTGCTTCCTTTGTGTTAATAGTTATTTCTCCTTTAGTTTATCCTCTCCTTTTCCCATGACCGACACTTCAAAGAATTGCAATTCATTTCCGTCTGCCATCATTGACTGAGTTAAGCCAATCAAAACCAAGCAAAAATTTCCCTGAACCAGAAACACCATGGCCTGAAATAAAAGCTATTGTACTTATCAAAAAATGAAGCTCTGCAGCAGCCATTTGGGTTTTATATCATTATAGTGGAAGCTGCAGATCATCATTTAGCAAAGTGCCCTTGAAAGGCCAAAGACACTTTTCTCATTGGCACAGATGTGGGGATATGCAGAGATGTATTTGTAAAAATGACAGCCTTTTTGTAAAGCCTACAATCTGTTAATTTAGCTTCCAGTAACCTAGAACTGAAATGTGTGTACATTCAGAGAAAAAACATCAACACTATGAAAGGTCTGGTGTAACATTAGCTCTAGTACAGCTTGGAACAGAGTACTGTTTTATTGTGGAGGTTGCTCTTAAGTAAAAATCAAGGTGTGACATAAAAGCCAGGTAACACCCTGGAAAGCAGGGGACAGAGAACTAGAAAGGAAGAGTAGAATCTCTGGGTTAAAAAGACAAGAAGATTAGAACCGGCATGAGGAAATAGATAGGCAGAGGACAGCTTGAAAGGGATGAATCAGCAAAGATCAGCTTTATCATGATAGAGCTTCCAGGGTTGTGGGAATCCTAAGGTTCTTGGTGTCTCATTGTGCATCAGCTGTCAGAAGTATCTGGGACATTCATTCAGAGTTTCATACTCTTGTAGCCCTGGTCCACACAGGGGTCACAGACAACTTTTGCAGGTAGTTCTGCACTAGCTCAGGTGTCAGAGCTGAGAGCACTGAATCTAAAGGTTCCAACCTTGCAGATGTGGATATCAAAATAAAATTTACTGGGTGATTTGTGGGGGAGAAGGCCATTACAAAAATTTCACATTCCTACCAAATATGCTAATTATAAACTCTCAGGAAAAAACAGAATTATATTTTTAAGTATGTGGACAGTCTATGGTGATTCTGTCAGGCATGAATGTTTCAGGGTAGCCTTGTCCCTTCTTCTGTAGTAATGCTGCTTTCAGAGCACAGGAAGGTGCAGCACAGTACCCCTGCCACCATTGTTATAAGGGTTGGAAGGTATGTAGTGGGAGGTGTAAGAAGAGAAGGGTTTGTTGTAGTTAACTCAATGGTATAGACTAAACATCTGCAAAAGTGAGTGTATCTTAAGGCACTTAAGGTATTCTTCTCGTGCATCATCACGGTATGTTTCTTATTTTTCAAGTGGCTGATTTAAGGTGTTTGTATAAGACTTGCAGATGTGCTAACTGTCTGCAACCACAAATAAATGTAAAATGGACACCACATGTCCATCTTTCCCCTTCATTTCAAATGAATTCAAGGCTGTGAAGATACCTAGTCAATGTTTGTAAAATACTTGGATGAGTGCTGTAGAATAGACTTTGAGGAAAGAGATAGTTCTGTACTAGGTCTTAGGCAGTGGGCAGCAAGTAAAAAATTGAGAGAAAATAATAAATGTACTAGTGAAGTATTGTTGTTGGTCATTATTCAAGGTATGGCAAATTTGGCTTTAGATCTCTTTATACTGGAATGAAAATGCCATGGCCATATGACACAAAATATTATCTGTATAATACACTACTGGTTCATATATCTCTAAAAATAAAGTAAAAATTAATAGGTCAACTAACTAGCTTATTGTACCAGTAAGGGTTGTTAAATTAGATACCATCTGTCATGTTTTAGGTGATACAGGTGCACAAAGCCAAGTGAAATTCTAGGTTGTTCTCTGGCTAATGTGATAGTATACAAACATAGTGTCTGTGTGCCAGAGTGCAGCAGGGCAGCCGCTCCCAACGGGCTGGGGAGCCGTCTGCAGTGACAGCGCCGGGGGCAAGGGCCTCGCTAGCGGGGGCTGCTCCCACAGTACCCGAGTAAAGCAAGCAGGGAAGGCTGGTCTCTAGTAGCCAGGTTCAACCAAGTCTAGTCTTTGTGCTAAAATAATTATTTGCTTCTTGCCCTTTTTGGCTTCCTTGAGTGGAGGAATAATGCTCCTTTAACATTGTACAGATAATATTTGGTATGCTGTGAGTGGAGATGAAGTAGGTGATAAAGTAATTGTGACCAGACATATAAAATGCAAGCTGAATTTTTCGTGCAACCTTTTGGAAGTAAAGTGGAGTAAAGCTAAATGATTTTATAAAAGAAAAAAAAAAAAACATCAAAAATTGATGAGTTGAAACCAATTTTAAGTATAAACTTCCTAGAAAATTAAGCAAGTATAGAAATCTTTCCCTTCCTTTTGTCTTTCCAGTTCTACCAGAATTAAAGCTGCTCTGTGGGGCTGATTTTCTACAGACATTTAAGACACCCAATCTCTGGAAGGAAGAACACATCAAAGAAATAGTGGAAAAGTTTGGTTTGGTCTGTATTAGCCGTGCTGGCTCTGATCCTGCTCAGTACATCAATGAATCAGACCTTTTAACTAAATTTCAGCACAATATCTTCCTGGTGAAAGAATGGATTCAGAACGAAATCAGTGCAACACAGATACGCTATGCCTTGTGCAGAGGATTAAGCGTAAAATATCTCATACCAGATTCTGTTATAGCCTACATTGCACAGCATAATATCTACACAGAAGAGAGTGAGCGGAAGAATGAAGGTGATTTGCTTCAGCCTCTTAAATTGCATAACAGAACAGTAAACCCACTGAATGACTGATGTCTGTAGTGTGTGAAGTGGAAGGACCTGGCATTTTTCCATGTAAAGTTCTTGAGAAAGTTGTTTCTTATTAATGAGGGGAACATACATCAATCCAGAATTTCCGGAATTCATGTGGTGTTTTAAATTCATGGGGGTGTGTGTGTGTTAATGCTTAAATAAATTGGGATGCTCAGCTACATAGCTTAAAATATATAAAGAATAGCTTCCTTGTGAAAATAAAAGATCTAACAATAAATATTAATCTCCAGTAATACTTAAGGTCAAACACAGTACTTTCCTGAATTGTAATTCTGTAATCCTACAGACAGTTTTAGCATGAAGATGCCTTACTATTCTGAAGCAGCAAAATAAAATGAACCATAACTTTTTTAATACGTATGTATATCTTTAAATATATATTACTGCTAAACTTTGACTTTTTAGGGGCCCGAATAACTTTTTTGTGTTTTGGCAGTTTGAACAAGAGATGGAAATAAACCTTTCTTTCATGCAAGCACTTAAAACTGCATGCACTGTTCATGTCACTTTTAAGCCTCCAGATTCACAAATGACAGACAGTCCTCATCCCCAGAGTTAAAGTGGGTTTCTTTGCTTCTCTGATGCAGTCTTTTATAAGAGTAAGTAATTGCTATAGCCCTGGAGTAGATAGCATATCCAAGAGGAACTTTAGCTGTACCATTTGAAGATACACAGTGGAAAATAAAATACATAAGAGGCTGTCTTGGTATTTGAGCCCTAATGTTAGCCAGAAAAATCCATTCTCTTATATGTTGCCTATTCTGCAGATTCAGTCAATCTCATTTTTGACAGAAGACACCTTCAGAGAATATTGAATCTCTGTGAAGTGCTACTTCTGTGTTTCAGTGTTGCTTAAATTCACTGAAAGCATACATTCAATAGTGATGTAGCATTTATCAATATACAGAATTAACTACTGCTTCTTAATACAAGTTTCCACTTCACTGGACCTTTTCGAGCCCTCAGTTAGCCAGACATCTTCCACTCTAGTTCTCTAGAATTAAGGAGCTTGTGGAACAAGTTAAAGTCATGCCAGACACAAACCGCTTTCACTAAAAGGGTCCGTATGATCATTTTATGAAAAGAAGGTGTCATAAAGTAGCTGGAACATATGCAAGGAAGAAGGATTCACCTCAAAAAGCATACAAGATAAGCACTTGTATAGCTTTGGCTAATATCCTAAAGTTATTTAAAATGGTTTTTGTGAGTGACATGAAAAATGAAGAGTAATATGGTTAAAATGGATTTCCAGATAATCAGTACCCTTCCAGAAGTTTTATGGAAGGTGAATGTTTCATTCTGTTTAAATCAAGTCATCCTGCTGTCATTAGAAGTCTCAGAGGTTCAGCCTTGTGGAGGGATTTAAAGGCAACACTTCAAGAATAATCAGATTAGGACTTGCATAGCTACATGGTCTAAAAAAGAGATAAAAGAAACTAGAGTTCAAACTCGCCACAAAGAAGGGCAGTGAGCTGTGTGGTGCGGAATCAACACACTGTTCCGAGACTTTGATTTTGACAATTACCTAAAGTAGAGATGCCTGCAGATTTCAATGGTTACTGGAAAATGGTCAGCAATGATAATTTTGAGGAGTATCTGAAAGCTCTGGGTAAGGTTCCCTTAATGTTTCTTTAATACATAATCAATAAATGCAACCTGTCATAATCTTTACACAGATCTTTTTCTTTTGTACAGTCAAATCATTTCTGTGAAAAATATTTTCTTCAGGAATGCACTCTTAAGAATTGCCTTATGCAAAATTGTTTTCTCTTAAGCAGCCTCTACTTTTTACAGTCTTGAAGTTTACATTAACAGAGATTAAACTACATAGCTTAGAGAGGTAAGTGGCAGACTTCAAACTTTAAAATAAAACCATAATTTGAGAAACAGTAAAATTTTTTGTGCATAATAAGGAGACAATGTATCTAATGTAATTTTGTGTGTTTGCAATTGATATAAAGTGAAAGTATTTTGATATAAATGTCAAAGGCCTTATTAAATGTCAAATACAAATGGTATTTTTCAGGATTCCATATAATCATAAAATCAAAACATTAACTTATTAAAGTTAAAATAATTATGCTATGGACTTTTTCCTGATGTGAAAGCTAGCCAGAAAGATCTGGACATTTATTTATCTTTGTTCATTTTAGGTCTCCCAAGAGCTACAAGCTTCTTTTTCCAGTAGATTTTTCTAGATTAAAATAATTCTTTTTCTTTTTCAGATGTAAATGTTGCTGTAAGAAAAATAGCAAACTTGCTAAAACCTGACAAAGAAATCCTTCAGAATGGGGATCATATGATCATTAAAACGCTAAGCACTTTTAGAAACTACATCATGGAATTTGATGTAGGAAAGGAGTTTGAGGAGGATTTAGCTGGGGTGGATGATCGCAAATGCATGGTAAGAATTAGAACTGTAACAATGGACAAAAAAAACAAGGAGTAATCTGAGGCCATTCACAGACCACATCTGTTAACCATTTTATGTGGCTATTCCTAAAATTATTTCTGTACTTCCCAGTTTCCAAGGTGTGCACAGTTTTTAGCATGTGTTTTTACATTAAAGGAATGCTAATTTTAATCAAAAGCACAGAACAGTTTTATCAATGAATGAATAGTAACGTCAGTGAAACGTTACTCAATTATATTGGGGTGTTTGTTGGTCAAAAAGACATTTAGGTTCAGACTTTCAGAATCTCTTCACTGGGTAATGTTTCCCAGTAAAGGAAATCCATTGATTGCAGAGTCAGGCACTATTCCCCATGTATTAGAATGGCTAAGTGCTTAGAATTTGCAGCTTTTCTTTCTTGTGCTTGTTCCTGTGCTCTATCCTTCCTGGGTGTATTCATTAGAGCAGATGCATTAATTAGCCTACTGGAAGAAATCTTACAGCAGTCAATAAGCAAACACTGAGGACTCTGCCTTATGAGCTCTTTTTGCTTGCCAGAGAGACAATATTTTCTAACTTATGGCTGATAAATACCAATTAACAGGGGAAAAACTTGAGAATACAAAGTTCTTTCCTGTTAGTTTGAAAGCATGACACCTGCAATATCCTACAATGAAGAAGTTGTTACGCAAAATAAAATTATCTTGGGAGCGACTGTAAAGGAGAAATTAATAGGCCATTTAAGTAGTGCCATTTAAAACCGATACTGTTCACTTACACTAGGATATGCAGAATTGCTTTTGCTGGGGTGATGGCAGGAAAGGGAAGGATCATGAAGATGAGAAAAAAAAGAATGGCAAACTAGTGAGTGCCTCAACTAATCCTTCTGTACTCCTTGATAGAGAGGGCAGAAGCATGATAGAGTACAGAATGCAGAATTCATGGAAGCAATGTGTATTTGTGTATAGGAAAGTGCCCCAATGTCATATTGCGGTTTTGACTGCTGGAAGGCTCTTAATCAGGATGGTGAGATCCAGGTCCACTGAACAGTAATGAGCCCAAAACAAGACCTAGACTTAGGTGGCTAAATCACTATCAAAGATAGCAGTGTTCAAAACATCTGCTCAAGTGCTAAGTTCTCAGTGTTTGAGTCGGTGAAGTACTAGTTTGTGTGTATACAGAACTGTCTCCATCTAAGCTTTATCTGTACTTAGACACCATTAAACTCCATCTAAAAGAGAACTAAAACATTCTCTACATGGCAGAAATAAGTAATTGTGCCCTGAGGCTGTCTAGCATGTTCCTGCAACGAGTTCAGACAACCACTGTGCTAAAAAAAACAAATTCAGAAGACCTGGAGATGTGGCCTTGCATAGTCCTGCATTGGAAATGCTGAATACATTTAACACACAACTTCTAATTACCAGACAAATAATTCTAAATACTTTATTGTCTGTAACAGGCCAAAATTCTCAATGCTATTTTGCGAAATTGAGTGATAGGGAAGAATTCAAATTGTTGAACCAGAAAGAAGAAATTAGAGAAAGATTATTCTAGTCACCAGCTATTTGATTTGGAGTGGAACCTAGTTCACCCTACTTCCAAGGGTTGCTTAAACATTTTGTCTATTGGCTGTTTAGTGCAAAATGCTCACTCAGCACTGGAAGCAGAAAGTACCAGTATCATCTTGCCTTTTCCATAAGAACCCAAGGAGTAGTCACTAACCCTGTCTGTTAGTTTAATTAAGAATCACTTGGGCACGTAACTCCACAAAAACTTTCAGAAATCTTCCATGTCCCTTTATGGCCTCCAACAACAGATACCAACTGCAGCTGTACAGTTGGTCACTGATCACTGGTTCTCTATTTGCCTGTAGCAATGTATCATACTTTATAGTTTAATTTTCTTATTAAAGATTTATTTTTGACTTGAGACCTCAGTTTTCCCAAAGGCAAAACAGACCACGAAGCTGTCATTCTGAAGGCACTGCAGCCCAAACCTGATAACCACATCAGGCAACACTTGCAGTTGTTAAGCAGCAAAATAACTCCAATGGTCCAGAAAGACTCTTGTCAGAGAAGGGTCATGGAGTGATAGAAGAGATACTGGACCACTCCCTGAGTGGTGTTATGAAAAAAAGCTATCACAAAAGCAAAGATTGGATATCATTCTTGGTGTTTCCTTTTCTCATCTATAGCTTGTGAGACTGCATGCCATAAATGGCTTAATCATTAATAGTCAGCCTGTCTAATGAGAGAGAATGTGAATCAATTATTGTTATTTATATTGTGGACTGAGCAGACCACTGGGCAAGTTTTATCCGAGTAGCTCAATGTATCAAAAGTACAAAGTAACATGGATAAGACAAATTACACATTAAACATTAATCTGTATAGCAGAGCAATCATCAGGAGACTAGCAAGCATAACCTTAGAAATAAGTCATCCAATAGGTATAGATCACTTTTTTCTTTTTAATGAAGAATATATCATCTAAATAGAGTTAACATATCAGTAAAAATAATATTAGAAGAGTGAATAGGTTAGATGTTGTGTATAATTCACTGAAATTGTGCTCACCTTTCAGTTGCAAAACACGTCTTTGAGTCAGTGAGGGTAGAGTGTAGCTACAGTAATCCCAAATAGATACTGTCTGTGATGAGTAAAGGCTAAAAAGTTTTGCTGGTACTTATTTAGAAGTCAAAGGTTTGACAGTAGGAATTGATACTCCTGTGACAGGCTAGGCCCCCTCCTTCATTTCAGTTAGGATTTTTTTCTTTTTTATAGTTGGTCACTCCTGGAAGCCTGTCTGAACTTTCTGGAACAGTGAGTTAATTGAGCTGGATAAAATTTAGCAGTCTGTTCAAAATGGTCACTTTCTTGTATGCAACACACTTTTAGGTGATTCTGTTTTCTTAAGGGATATAGGCAACAGCAGTTCATAATATCAGTTCCTTTAAGGCTTTGTTTCTGTTGGGAAGTGAAAATTTGCTACTTTGAAATCTCAAGAAACTCAAAAGCCCTGCTAGTTTAGTTAAAGATGCAATTTCTCTGTTGTGTAAAACCAAAGATTAGGACAGCTGACAACACAGCAGAGATCACTAATAACAGTGCAAGCACTTCCAAGAAGACAGTTGATACTCAATGCGTTCTAAGCATTGCTGAAATCATGTATGGAGCAACCTGCAGCACAGCCTGCTCTCTTAAGAAATGCAGACAAGACATCTGCATTCACTTAGTTCCCGTAATGCTGTTGTGCTTCTCCTGGAGCATTTCCCCCGAGATTTTATCTCCTAGATAATAGCTAAATAAGAGTTTCTCTTATTTGTTTGTTAATTTTGTGAAAGATTTGTTTCTGCAAGTTTAATCATACTTAATATTTAGGGGTGTTAAAAACCCTAAATGGCAGTGTGAACTACAAAGGTAAAATGAAAGCTAACGTATTCAGGAGCATCTTTTATTCTTTGCAAATGTTACAAGGTGCACATTAGATGGTGTAGAAAGACATCCCTTAAAAAAGGCACTATTAAATTATTTCTTATATGATGTGAAGTTTGAATTGGACCATGTGATAAAGTTTCTACTACTTTGAAGAGTTTGTTCATGGTTTTAATTGGTGACATCTATCAGATGTCTAGTGTACAAGATAGAAATTTAAATGGATAACTATGACTTTGGTATTTCCTGAACTGAGTATTTGATCCTGATATCTTCATTCTCAGTGAAGCTTCAGTCTCATTATGAACTTTCCTCAGTTTTAAAGATAAATTCTATAACCTCTAGTTGAGATTAATTTAATGAACATCTCAGGTATTCCACTAAGTGTAAAACCTTGTTTCATGCAAATAAACTTTACTGTGGAAAAAAATTTACTGTGCACAAAAGAGGCAAGACCTGATTGAAAAGCATCTTCAAAAGTATGTCTCATTCATCACCAGATAATTTTGCCAACCTTTTCACCATCAGTAATAAACAGTGAAGCCAAAGATACATCTGCAATGAAAAATATGTACCAGTAAACATAAGAACAGGGCAGAATCTGACACTAAGCAGAAAAGTTAGCCTTATGTACCTTCACAGTGTATTTGCTTAGTACATCAGTCAAAAGTTTATAAAAAAGTTAAATGAAAAAAATTATAGGCTGAAATGAAGGCTGAAGTTTCATGTTTCAAGTCTTTGCACCCAATGAATCAAAGCAGATTGATAATGGGATAGCTCTGATGCAAAAAATACTTCCCTAGAATTTTTACTTTTCTAATAATTTTTCTGCTAAAGTCAGAGAGTTTTTGTATTGTCATTTTTATCTGCTGCTCAAGCATTTGAATGAGACTGAATTGCTTTAGCTCACACTCTCTAGAATGAATCTCTTTTAACAGAGACTAAGGGCAAGTGATCTATTTAAAAAAATCAAGGAAGATTCTATGTGCTAAATATAGAACAGCAGAATTTCTTGTATAACTGAAAACAGCATTAGTTGTATTAGAATTGAATATTTGGCTGAGTGAAGGATGCTTCAGTAATTCAGAGCCTTGTTGTGCTCTTTGGCCTAGTAATTTCCTTCTTACATTGAAACAGGTAAGGAAATTACAATGACCAGGGACTGGTAAACAGATAAAACAGCAAGAATTTGAAACTGAAGTGGGAAATTGTACATATTAACCACTTAGTTAACCAAACCAGAATACAGGCAGAATATAACCATGGATTAAGTTATCAAATGAGTGTTTAGGGTTCTGTCCTTGGAAGCCTTGCTGGGGTGGGTTAGGGTGAGGGGGATTTGGGAGTTGTAGAATTCACTCATCAGATCTATCATACATCTTATCATATGAAGTATCTTCCTGAAAATATATAGTCATTTAACGTTTTAGACAGCCACATAAGGATTGTGCATAGGCACCTGACCAAACCTGGCACACAAACCGGTGCTAGTTACATGTGCCATATCCTGGTGGAAGGAGGTAAATTGTTTAAAATTGATCATGGCTCTGTTTTAAATAAAAAACATGTCTAATG